TGGAGAAGAGGAGACACAGAATCATATCTAGCAAAATGCACGTGTGGGGTTTTGTTTTCCTGGAAAAGGCAAGGTGCAGAAGAACTGCTGACTGCATCAGCCTAATCCTTGTATACCGGTGCAAACCCATTCAAGTATTTCATCAGTAAGAATAATCAAGGAACTTTGGCCTGCTAGGAGCTGAGCATAACCATTCAATAATTTTTTAATAGATCTTTATTTATTGCTAGAGACAACGTTCCTTTATTGGGTTTTTTTTGGGCCAGATTCTCTGAAATCCCTACACCACAGGCTGCAGTATAGAATCAATGAGCAGCTACTCCCCACCTCTGCCGTAGCTGCGCGAGAGCCACCAGCGACACCCTGGGATGGGCAAGTGCCCTGCGGTGCCCAGAGCAGCAAAACCCTCTGGCAGAGGCCTGCTGCCAGCAAGGGATGCAGAAATAAAAGCCACAAGGGAAGGAGAATACACCAAATATAAATTTGGCCCCTTAAATAAATTCTTAGTGCTTTCTATCCCATTTTTAAAATGTTGCACTATTTCCTCTCTCCTCCCAAAATAATGTTGTCTCCTACGTTATATATGTATACACGTGTGTGCATTAAACTGCTGGGGCCATCACTTTGCAAAAACAAAATTAGCTCGGTTTTGCCATAAGAAATTCTGGGTTTTTTTTCTCCCTTGATCAAAGTTATCCACCTATTTGGCAAATAATTGCCAGTCTCCAAGACTTCCCCTACCCCCTTTTTTTTTTTTGCTTAATTTTGGTGGGTTTTTTTTTTTTTTGGTTTTGGTTTTTTTTTTTTCCCTTTTTTTTTTGTGCTTCCCAAAGCAGCTGACTCCAGTTTCTAACCCTTGAATGCTAACCGCCAGAAACTCCCTGGTCACAGTGCAAAAAAGCATCCACATTGCTAAAAGGGACCAAGCATCAGAGGGAAGCAGAGACATGCCAGAGGGACTCAGTATTTCCAAGGACAGTGACTTGACCCAGCAGCTTTCATTAAACTTGGTGACATTGTGTTGGTTTGGAAAGAAGAAATAAAACACAGTAATTTTATTTCATCTTTGCTTAGAGTTTGAGATTCATTCACACTTCAGATATAGGCTATTTATAAATCTTAGAAAGCTTGATCTGAAAAGACACTATAGCCCACACTAAAGCCCACTGAAAGACAAAAATCAAATCTTTGCATGGCTGAACAGATTGGGATGAGATAACAGAAATCTTGACAAGCCTTAGGAAAACTAGAGGGTGACAGTATTTATACTGGGAGGGACTAAGGAGAGACAACCTTTCCTTCCAGGAACCCCAGATTCATCCCCAGGGTGAGAAATGTCCCTTTAACATCCCATAGCAGTGGTGTGGAAAACCCCACAGATGGTTTCCCTGTCCTGGGAATCAGGGCAAGACCCATCCGATTTTTGTCCTGAATGATGACTACATTGAAAAATGAGAAAAAAGGGGAAAAACAAGGGAATAGTATATTCTGTTCTCCGTTGCCCTGTTTTATGAGCAGGAAAGGGAATTTTTAAGACATTTTGAACGGGAAATATCTCTGCGATACATCTGAGCTCTACCTGCAGTCACATTATTGGCTCCATACAGACTAGACCCTATAAATAAGGACACAAATGCAAACTTAACCATCAGCACCTAAGGAAGAGCCCCCTGCTTGCTCGGGATGAGCCCTGCAGAGCACCACTGCTTTTGCAACCAGGGAAGAGACGGAAACACCGAGGACTCACCACAGGGGACGGAGAAAGTGCAATGTTGCCTATTGACGCCTTCAGCTCATCCACCGTCGCTGCGCTCTTCAGGATGTCCTTAGCCTGCAAAGGCTTGATCTTAATGTTGAACTTCTTATGCGCCTCCTCTTCCTCTTCAGATTCACTGGAGGAATAGAAGTGCTTTCCTTTGGTAGGTAGAGCACAGTTAAGGAAGGTTTCTTTCTGCTGCCAGGGCAGAGTCTTGGCATTCAAAGGCTCAAGCCTCCCTGAAGAGTGGGAATTAGGTGTTCTTGAAATGCCTATCCCAAATGCCCCAGGGCAGGAGTAGTGTGCAGGGGCAAATCCTCCTGCTGTGATGTTTCACTGCTTTATCTGTGTGCGGGCAGAGGACATGGAAACTGGTGCTCGCAGCGATAAAGCTAGCCCTGGTTTAGCCCAGCAGTGATTTGCATCGGTGTCCAGGTTTCCTCCCCATCGGGACCATCGTGGCCCATCACCCACAGAGAGCCAGCATTTTTCAGTGGCAGCAGAGGAAGAAATTTTGCTTTTCCACTTACCCTCCTCCAGCTGCGAGGAGGAGGCTTAAAACCTGCTGCCAACCTACGAACTCTGCACGTGCATGGGCTCTGGCAATCAATGTCTCCTCACCCCTTCGCAGAGCGCATTATGGGAGCTGCAAATTGATCTTGGCTCATTTTGCTTTTACTGCCATGCAGACCATTTCCACCCAGAAACAGTACCGGCTGTGATGAAGCACCACACGGCCAGCACCCACATGCAGCCCCGCAGGTGCACCCACTGCAGATGAGATGGGACATCGGGGTCTCCATGGGGCACCCCACTCGGATGCTCCCTGCACTGCTCACACCTCCTCCTCATTTCATAGCAGTGGATGAAAGGCAATTAAAATCACCTTTTGCTCTACTGCCTCATGTAATTCCCTCTAGGAACCTATTTACGCTGTGGAGTGACAGCTCAAAAGGAAAATAAGAGGGAAAACAAACAATAATAATAATAATAATAAATAAATAAAAATAGTCAATGGCCTGCCTGTGAACCCCAGCTTGTCTTACAGTTTGTAAACCAAGAGGCAAAGCCAACAATAAAAGGATATAGCCTGGTTCCTCAGGTCGGATGCTGTACCCCTCCTCATCAAGCTCAGGTGAATTCTGAATAGGGCACATAAAACTCAAGAATTAGGAATGCTAATTCTGTTCCAGGAAAGCTGGAGCAGCTGTTTTCTCCTGCAGGAAGCGACATCCAGCAAAGCCCTGTGCAGCCCAAGCCCCCTGGTAGCCCTTGGGGCTGCACAGAGCAAACAGCACCAATGCTCTGGCACGGCACCCGCTGGGGCATTTAGCAGGGGCTGAGCACCCAGCCTTGCTGCAGATCAATTTCTGCAGTGCTTAATTTTCACAGGTAAGATTTTGCAACCCTCAATTTTTGCGGAAAATTTTTTTGCAATGCTTGGTTGCTACCCAGGGTTTTCTCCGCGTAACAGCGACATGCTGCAGGCCTGGGCAGCTCTCTCCTCACCTGCAGGGTGGGTGTTGGGCACCGGAGCCACCTGGTTTCTAGGCAGTTTTATGCTATTTAATTAACATGCAGATACAAAATACGTATCTGGACACAACTAACACTTGGACATCACCCAGAATGGACACGGCCACCCAGAAAGCCAAAATAGCAGCATGGGAGCGCAGCCCGAGTACCCCGTAGGGAGCCATGTGAGTGCTGGATGGAAGGGTGGGTCCTTGGGACACTTACGTATCTGTCCCAGTCGATCTCTGCATAAAATCCGTTTGGGGCTCCATTCGTTTTCTTCTGCAACACATTGGAAAACAAAATTTCCAAGTTTTAAACTAAGGAAATGAGAAGAACACAGAATGCCTTATATGTGTGCATCGACACGGCTGGGATGCCACTGGGTATCACAAGAGACGGGTGGACCCCACAGCTGCCTGTGCAGGCACTGCAGAGAGCTGCTCTGCACATGCACGTCAGTGATACACAACAGTATTTCCCACTTCTGGAAGGTCTTCCACACCAGAGAGCCAAAAGGCTTTTTTTTTTTTTTGAACATTCATTAGCTGAACATATAACATTTCTCAAGGAAGAGAAATGAAATGGCCATTTCTCCGTTTGCTGGGGTGTTCCAGCCCATAGGGAGAGCTGGCGGCAGCAGGGGCTCCCGATGCCCATCGAGCACAGGTAGCACCATTGTTTATTGGGAGATAAACACCTTCCCCAGAACACGCTGAAAGAAGGATTCGGTTTCTGTTACTCAGTAGCCAAACTGCCCGCAGAGCAAGCCAGGTGTCATTGCTTCACTGTGTGGTGAAGCTGGGTTGCAGCAGTGAGAGATGTCTGGGCTAACCCAGCTGGGATGCAGCGTTAGTGCACATCACAACACACCAACACACACACACACACAAGTTATTGCTGCTTCAGACCGAGGAGGGTCTGGTTTGGAAGGAGGCTTTGGGCATCTGTCACCTGCAGTTCCCTTTGCTGGTCTGTTCTGGGTATCCAAAAAACACCCAAACCTCCCACTGGCCACCGCAGCCAGCAAGCAGTGTTACAAGGCCAGCTCAGGGACTGAAGTTAGGCTGGGTTCTCAATTTTGGGCACCTCAATTAGGTAATCCAGTTCCCTTCAGCTGCCAGAGGTAGCACCCCCCCGCCCCAGCACCCTGCCAAGTGTCTAACGCAATGCATCATCCCAGGGCAGCAGCAGCAGCACGGGGGCTGGATCAGGCCACCAGCACCTCACCCTCCACATTTCACCCGACAGTCCTGACAGTGCTGCCCAAGAACGGAGCAGCCTGGTTAAAGGTACAAGGGTGAAAAATCAGACTCTGGATGCAGTTACGTGGGACTTCTACTTTTCCCCCAGTCCATTTGTATTTAACCCCATTTCTATTCAACTCATACATCCACCTGACTGAACCTAAATGGTATTTTCCTATATTCTGGATTTCAAAACAAAAATTACTCACTGTTTTTAACAACCCTTTCGCAGCTGTAAACCGAGCTCTGTTTTCCTTACCGAATTTTTTTTTCCTCCTTCACGCACACTCTCAGGTTTGCTATTGCAAGGTGGCTCATTGGGATGAGGGCTGGGCAGCTGGAAGGGATTGGGGTTTGGCAGAAAAAGGGTTAAAGTATCGGGTGGTTTGTTGGTTTTCTGGTTTTTTTAAACACACAAAAATAAGTTAAACGGAATTAGCAAGCACACTGCACAGTTTTATAAGAAAAGGAGGGCTCAGCTGTGGCTCCATTAGGAGTAAGCGTGGTTTTTACTGGGGGCAGGTAACGGGGCTCTATTCAGCAGTCAGAGGATTTGCCTCTTGGCCACTCCAGCAGCTGCAAATGTTATGGTGAGAACATGTTGTAGGAGGAAAAGTTATACGAAATGTTTTCACCCTCCAATTCCCCTGCCTCGAATACATTCAGCGGCTTCATTATACCCCCCCAAAAATTGCATTTCTGCATCCTTCAGCTTGCTGGAGCACTGGAGACCTCGTCCTGCCCTGCACCGAGCTTAAACAACAAGCCACCTGGAAAATCAAGAAATAGGAGCCTGATTGAGAGGGCACCCAAGCTCACCCAAGGTCCCTGAGCCCATGCCTGGCAAGAAAAGGCTGCCCACAGCACTTCTGCTGGTGGAGGCAGTGGCTCCAGGCTGATCCTTGCATTTTATTTATTTATTACTGCTGAATAGAGCCTTGGTTAAAGCGCTACCTGAGCTGCAGACTCTTTTTTTCAATTGCTATTTCTTAATAAGTGGCTTACGAACACAGGGCAAGCCCAAAGCCAAGGATCTTGGGTCAGATGTGGAAAAAAGTGATCTCTCTAAAGGAGCAATTTGGCACCCCAATTTTTGTATGGCTTTGTAAAATACACCCCAGTACCACTCTCCCTGCCGAGCCTCCCAAGGGTGTCTCATTTTTATTTTAAGGTGAGCTTCTAACATCTGAATTTGCTCAAGAAATAATGACCAGCACAGTCCCAGTCTGAACCCAACATACTTATTTGGAAACTTGAAATCAAACAGCTAAAGGAGACGTGGTCTGTCTGCTACCCAGATCTAGCAGGGGCATTTCTATCTAACACCATAAATAAAAGCAGCAATAATTCAAAAACAAGTATCTCCTTATTCTCACTTTAATATAGAAAATAAAAATAGGTATTGGAAACAGATGTTCTGGCAATCTTCCCTTAACTCATTATACAGCAAATCTGACCCAAGCCAATTAGTGGGAGTAGAAAGGAGGATGCGGAGCTGGGGGTTTTAGCAGGACACCTGGTCCCTTTGCCCACGGCACTCATCAGGTGTTTCTGTACCGTTATTTTCTTTATGTTAATTTTGTAGAAAACCTGGGATAGGTCATTATTTTAAACAGATAGCTTCTTACTGAAATTTATTTTCTATATTAAACAGAAAGGAAGAGACGGTTCACAAAATGCTGATGGTGGCTGATGGAGGAATTAGTATTTAAGGGGCCACAGCAGGAGAGGAAAGCAGGACTGGGGTCCGTGCAATACTTACAATGCCGTCCCTGTCTGGCGACCCTCTGCAAAGAACAGAAAGAAACGCAGCTGTGTTAGCTCCCAAACTGCACCATCGCCTGATTAACTTGTGGAAATAGTTTTCTTAATGAATCCACAGCAGTGATGGTTTTAAGTATGAAATTGTCAGCAAATCTGAATTACCTGTCACATGCTCGTGAAACCCGCACAACTCTCTCAGTACCGTTGCTCTCATGTTATCACATGACAAGTTTTATATTTACTAATAAATAAAGTGCTCCTGCCTATGATTGCACTCTCCCGGCTGAGGAGCTGGACTGGCTCCTCCTTGCACCCATCCCACGGCCACAGCCCTACCCTGGGTGTGCATCCTCTTGCAGAAGACAATAAAAATTACGCATAGAGTAATTCAGAGATTTTTCTTCTGCCAGAAGCACAATCACTTCTCTTTTGAATGGATTTGGAAATTGATGAGACTCCTCAGGGATCCTAATCCCCAACAGCTTATGGGATTTGGACCTCGGTCACAGCAAACGGAGTGGCAGGCTCAGCGACCGTATTTAAACACTGTCTAAGGATGCTAAGTTATTTAGTGAAAAGACAAATATGTTTATGAAAACCAGACTGGCTTCTCCACCTCCCACACGCTCCCGAGTTTTATGCGTTGCCAGAGATTTGTCTCAAATTAATGTCTGACTCAGGGCATCATCAAAAGCCTGCAGGGAGCTGCTGCCTGCCCGGCTCTGGTTTAACAGAGAATAATGCCTTCCACTGAACTTCTCCAATTCATTCACATCTGCCTCCCCTCTTATCACACATGTAATTTCTTTGCACAAATGTTTCTGAATTTTTTTTTTTTTAAGTAGATCCTCTCCGCTTCCATATTTCCCCTACATGCAGGGAATGTCACCTCCTGCTCATCTCCCCAAAGCCCAGCCAGAAACAGCTGGGGAGACCCTCAGCTGGTGGCGGGAAGGCGGGGGTAGACAC